CAAAAATACAGCTTTTTTTACTAATAATTATGATAATATTTTCAGTACAATTATTGAAGAGTGTGTTAATTTGTTAATCAATGGTTACATTTTTTTCTTTGCAAAAAAAATTTGAAAAAATAAGAGGTTTTATTTTGTGACAATTTATAGTATTTTTTTTTCTTACTGTTTGCTGAATTCAGTTTAAAAGTGAATACAAAAAAGGAAACGAAGGAAATCATCTAGTGAAAGAAGGGTGTTCTAGAAGCATGTAAAACTTTAATCTAATACCCAGGAATTTTCTGTTAGTATACAGAGATAAGGCTTTCTAAAACGACTGCTGAGCAGTCTTAATTTTACTTTCCACTGAATTTTAGCTACACTGTGCTCCTTACAGAAGCACTGAACTTGAGCGAGCTCAATTAATGCTTAACATAATTTTTAAACAGCCAATTACGAAATGGTAATTTAGTTACGAGTAGAAGTAAAGCTTACCGGTTGTTTAAACCCAGGTATTAGTGTTTAATTTAGTCGACTTTTTAAGTTCTCGAGGTTAATTTATCTTAAAATGACAGGTTTGTTTGACATTATTAACACTTGAAATGGCTTGCAAAAAATGTTTTGCAGATTATCTTGAAAAGACGTTCGCTTTATCTAGTAATCAAACTATAGTTTTTGCTGATTAACATTTTATTTTTGATGTACAATTAAAACTTAGAATTTATTTAGTAGTAGTTCACATTTACGCAACGTTTTGTTGCAACAGTAATTGTAGAAGCTGAAAAGCGCTCTCGGTTAAAAAAAAAAGGTTTGAATAAATAATTTTTGCATTTTTTTAAATCTTTGTTTATTGCCCTTTGTAGGCTTAACTTGAAAATGTTCATAAAGCTTCCTCTCTTTTAACCAAGAAAATTTAAAACAAAACTTCAGGTGCCAACTTATGACGTTGAAAATTTGTGGAAATATATTAGCTGTGTTTTGCGCGGTAGTAGGTGCTCGATAATTCTTGAAAGTACCCACTTCTTGATCCTTCTGCTATTTTGTAAATATTAGAGTATTGCAGTACTCCATTGCTGCAAATCAAATATGTAGCGGTTATAGTGCTACCAAAATCTGCTTTATAAGTATTAATAATAACGTTACAAGAAATGATCAAAGTCATTAAACCATACAAACGAAATAAATTTTAATTGATCTAGTCAGAGTTTTAAGTGAGATACAGAAAACTATTCTTGTTAACCGTTCAGTTCTCTTTATTTTCTCACCAGCAATTGATCCTGCTTCATCAAAAAAATTTTTTTTTGCTAGTTGTTCCGCCTTGCTATGGTAAATATTCGTTTTTTTTCCAGGATAAGAAAGGTTCGCGAAAATAATGAAAACCACTGATATAATCCGCTAATTTAGTTTCTTCTTCTTTGACTTATCGGCGTATGGCAGTCCGTTGAAGGGAATCGGACAGTACCAGTCGTTTGAATGCATACAAAAGGTGTATTCTTGTACCCCCAAGGGGTTTATTCGATTGATAGTGCAACTTCGCAACTTTTTGTCACAGTGGCAGCCTTCTTTTCTGAATATGCAGTGATCAGTTACGCCTCAATTTCCCCCGCTGTCATACAGTAAAACATTTTGATAATTATGATCAACGTAGAGCTATGAACAATTTCAAAGGAAAATATCACTCATATTTTTTTTTAAAAAAGTATCTCATGTATAAAAGAGAGACTAACGTCCACGAGTAAAGCGGAATACTTCGGCACCAAGTGATGGGTTCTCTCATTGGATAACAGTCGCTGTGTCGTGTACATAGCCGCTGACTGGAAAAAAATGTACAATAATTTAGCCGCATTTCAAGACTCAAATATAATACTTCGTTTCTTCCGACTTCTTATTTCAAAGACAAAACTATTTTAAGAATTTATTTTTCAAATTTTTCGAGGCATTTTTTATAGTGAGTAAGCCGCATTTACTGACAGTAAGAACACAAGGGTAAAATTTTTACGTGCTCTATAATTACTGTGAAAAAAATGAATTATAGTCGTATCAGTATTGCAAAAACAATAGTGGCTGGATGTTTGAATTGGTTTGCGCTGCAAGAGAAGAAGCTCAGTGATTAAGGACTAATAAAACTTTTACTTCTTAACGTTTCTAAATCAAAAATATTGACTTTTTTACCGTTATCAAAACAAATAATTGAAAAATCGAATGACATTACACTCCGTTAGATGGAACAAATTGGGCTCCGTAGCAATCTGTAGTTGGATCACTGGTATACCTGCAACCTAACAGGGTACCAACGAGTGAAGACGTAACATAAACGTCTCGTGGGATTGCTGTCGAATCAAAAAATTCTTTTTCGCCGACGTAAAAGTCGTCATATTCTTCTTTCTCGTCATAAATTCCAAATTCAGAGACGGGCCTAATCAAACCAGGGATTACAGGTGTATATCTTCGGACATGTCGATAAGTAGGTGAGTACTGAAAAGTGAAGTAATAGTTTTTTTGTAGTGGAAGGAAACTTAACTTTTTAGTAGATTAGGCTATAAGCTATGCCTCTTGAGTTTTCACCCGTAAAGCATAATTGCGATAAAAAACAGGTTATAGAGAGAAATAAAGACTAAAATATTTGAAGAAAAATTTTTTTTTGGGTTTATTTTCTTCATCCAAATTGCTAAATTAAATCTTACAATTAAACAAGTGGAGAACATAGAGAACTGCATTTACTTTTAAGAGTACACGATTTTCATTTTCGCATTCTTGTCCCAGTTTGATCTCATAAAATTTAACTTTTTTTGACGTTCATATTACTTACATTTTTGACCTGAGATTCAGAAGACTGCTCTTCATCTGCTTCCTCACTTAAATGAGACTTAAAAATTTTGGTACCCTGATTGATAGAACTCTCCGAAGACCCTTCTTCTGGATTTTTTTCGGAGTCGGTTCCCTCCTTCAACAACAATGGATTATTTAGTACAGTGATGAAAACAGCATATATGACGCGTTTAAACTATAATTTTATTGATGTTTAAGATTGTAGAAAACAGTTGGGGTATTTTAGGAAGACCTATTGCAAATATTTCAATGAAGTTTTTTTTTTTTGCACATTTGTTGCGTAAACAAGTTTCAGGAAATTTTTACTCGTCTTTCGGGATATCAGCTTCATTGTTGAATAAAAAACAGTCCTTAAAGCCACTTTTTTAGAAGCCGACATCTTGTAAAGTAGATGAACAATTAAGAAACATACCCATGTATTCAGTCCTACAGAAAAGAACCCAAAACCTAAGAGGAGTAATGAAAGAAGTGGTAAAAGCATGAAGCACCACCAGAAATACACCTGTAAGTTTTACGTTTACTCGAACGCTACAAATGTTTTTATTGAAAAATTTTTCACATACTGTTGTGTATACAGCTTCTTTTTTTTCACCTGTTCCTTCTTTTACACTACTTATTATAAGATTTAATTGTACTAAACTTGATATTATGGTTTAAAACTCTTTACATCAGCAGTAATTTTGTGCTAAAAGAAGCACGAAACGTTGTTCAGCAATTGATGTTGTGCAAAAAATAAATTTTTTTTTTTTTACTTTTTTACGTCAACTTTTTTTCTTTTTTTTTTTTCTTCTCTTTTTTTGCTTTTTACAAGTATACTTTATTTCAACTGCATAAAACTTAACATTGACTAATGTCTTTATCTAAACTTCTCTCAGCGTATTTAATTATACAGAATGGTTAAAGTTTCCAAAATTCCTAGACTGAAAACTGAAACATAAAAAAGAGGTTATCTGAAGAATAGTAAAAATTGTAGATTTAGAACCATAAACTTCTTGACAAAAATAATTACAACTAATTTCAGCACTAATAGAGAAAAACTAACACTTTAGTGCATCTAAAACAAATTTTGATTTACAGGGCAGTGCTGCTAATGCTTCAACAGAATTCTTTAATTCAAATCTTTGATATGTCGAAAAGCTGCAAATAGTTTCTAAAAATGAGCATCAAATTTTATTGCAGCAAGTGAAGAAAAAATTTATTCTTTATAGCGCAAAAAAGTCAGGTACTTAAACTCTGCTAACTTTTTTCGCAAGTTATACCTATTCTGTACGTAACAGTATTCTTTTTTGCTTATAATAAACGTCTTCCAACTTAAAGTGTTTTCCTGCAGTACTCAGGGTGTTGGATAAACCAACAACATATTCTCTCTTTAACATCACGATCCTCGATAACTTACTACGTGAACACTAACGACGTCCTCCTGCTGCTTCGGAGAACTTAAAAAGCAGCAAAAAATTTTATAGCAGTTTCAATTAAAAGTTTTGTAAGTAAAAAAATTGGAAAGCTGTAAGTTCCCGACTTTTAAAAATTCAAACTTTGTTGCGTGTAGTTACTATGAGTGTGTAATAAACCTAATCATGATAGGCCAATTATAAAGGTTTGAAGCAAAAAATGTTCAGAAGGCAGATATCTGTTGCTTCACTTTATCTTATTTCACTGACCTTTACGAACTGCAGTTGATTTTTTCCGGCGTCCGGTGCTGAACAATTTAAACCATTACTAAAAATGTATCAATACAAATTATATGTTAGCTGTAGATGAATTTGATGTAGGTGAATTTATGAGTTTACGATTTTCAAACTTCACGCCTATATATCTTTTATTGACAATAAGAAACAAATATGATTGTTTCATATAATAATGCGGCTTCTCTTCTAATCTCTTTTCCCGTTATTTTTTCAAACGTTAAAGTAAAACCAAAAAAAAAAAACAGCTTAAAGCAGAAATAAATTTAAAAAATTTTTATAAATTGAGAAAGAAAACCACGTTGGCATTAAATGTGGGAAGGTAACTGAAGTAAAAATGGTTGTTGTAAACCGAAATAAGTCAAATACAACTTAAAACCGTGTGATCTTTCAATGATTATTTTAAACTGTTGAAAATGAAACACGCAACAGTTTTGTTTTAATTGTTTGATAAAAAATTGTTTTTTTCACATCCCTTAATCCTATGCAAACTGAACTGTAAAAATCTAAAAAAAAAAAAAATGGGAATTATAATCTTTTTTTATTAATGAAAATCTATCATTACCACTTTTCTCAAACATCTAAGCAACTTATTGTAACATTTACAGTCCAACGTACAAAAAAAACCTCCTATTCTTTTGCGAGAAAATGCTTCAAATCTTTGACACTGTGAAAGTGATAGGCAACTATTTGTGAGAAAGATAATGGCTTAAAATCTAAAAATTGTAGGTTTGAAAAAGATAAGGTAAGTTGAAACTTAAAACATACTAAAAGACCACTTTTTAGTAAATTTTGATTAGTGTTTGGCATCTGAGTAAACCACAAATCTTCTTGAAAAAAAAAAAAACAGCTTTTTTTTTTGCACACATTTTTTTACGTTTTATACGCGTAGTGCCTATTCACAACCCATTTCAAAGAGTATTAAACGTGAACTTCAACATTTTTTTGTCAATAAAGAAAAAAAAATGAGTCAAAATCTGTAATTTCTTGATAGACTATTTAAAAGTAAACGTGCTATTTCTTGTTAAGAACTTGAACCTTTAATTGCACCTGTTTTTTTTTTTCCCCTCTTCTGTACATAGTAAAAACTACAGCTGCTATAATTTCCTGTCATCAACCGTCTTAACAATTGCATAGTAAAGACAATCTGAATTTTTGTGAAAATTATATCAACAGTATAATTCTGGCTATACTATAAAAATGTAGTATAAAAATAGTATCCTGTAATGACTGTATCATGATTCGTCCTTACAACCGCAAAAAAAAAAA